TCATCTAAACTGGGCGAGCGTTACTGCGGGCCTTTGCAAAACTCTTTGTCTCTCACTATATAGGACGGGGTTCCAGCTCAGTCTAGCACGTCCTTCTGTCCAGTCTTTATTTCATCTAATTCAAAGATGTAGAATTAGTATTGATTTGCTCTACAGAGCTGAAGAGAAGTGGCCGATTTCTGTGAAATTCGTATTGCTCGTAAGTGCAAAGAATGAGACAGCATTCATGGCGAGTTGTTTCCGATGTTTTACCGTTATAATCGTCGCCGAGGGCAACAGAGAATTGCTAACATTATGAAAATAGCCAGAAACCAAGCATCTGACTTTGTTTGATCTTACAATTAGCTGCGCATATGTCGAGATTGGAGGCCGCTAACTTATTCATTTGGGAGACCCTTCTAGTACTTACTTACTTACTTAGATACTTAGATGGCCCGGCTTCACGTGACGTGCGGGCCCCAGCTCAGAAGTTTCCATTTCTCCCTGTCCCTCGCTTCCGACATCCACGATCTTCTTAGCTGACGTCGGTGGCTGCGTCCACGAGTTCCAGGTGCAGAAATCGTATCCAGCTGGTTTCTCAGCTGGTCCATCCGTTCCACGAACACGTCTGCCCATCTTGTTGGGGGTCTTCCTCGGGGACGTTTTGCTTCGCGAGGAATCCACTCCGATGTTCTTAGTGTCCATCTGTCGTCTGTTCTTCTCATAATGTGACCGGCCCATTGATCATAGTTGCGATAGGGGAGTGATAGATCTTACCCCCTTCACTTTGAGGCCAAACTCCCGATGACTCCCTTCACCTGGGCTGAGATTGGTATTGTACTCTGAGAATATGATAAAAATCGTTATTAAAAGGTTTTGCAGGCTAAGTACCTCAAACAACAAGCACACTCATAAATTTACTAAAGAAACGGTATTTATATTCATTTATATTATTTATTTATCCTCGTAGCATTTTGGAGAGCAGAAAGTGAGGACACAAAATCAGTTAATTTTTGAAGCACATAAAACCCCTCATATCTCGCGGCACAGAAGACCTAGAAAAAATTCGACAGTCTACGTCGATTCTCCATGATCTCAGCTTTCGAATGGTATACAGCATATTAGGGCTTCTTTGCTTCCCGGCTCCAAAATCATTTGCTCCGGTACCGATAAAAGCCAATACATTGGTGGAGCCGGATTGGAGCAAGCTAATAGTAAATATCTCCACCCCATTTTTGAAAACTGGTCTGTTTTTTCACCCAGCAACCTATATACCATTCGAAAGCTCAGGAAAAGGGGATTCGATCTAGACTGTCGACTTCTTTCTAGCCCCCCTCTACCGAGAGATACACCGCATTTTATCTGAAAACATGGTCATTTTCAACAGCAGATTTCTGCCAAAGGAAGACCTAATCACTGCTAATTATCTATCTGTGTTAAAGAGCAAGTCTTCATTAACAAAGTAGACCGTCGACTTTCTCGTAGCATTTATTTGGAGAGCAGAAAGTGAGGGCACAAAATCAGTTAATTTTTGAAGCACATAAAATTCCTCATATCTCGCGGCACAGAAGACCTAGAAAAAAGTCGATGGTCTATGTCGAGGTATACAGCATGTTAGAGCTTCTTTGCTTCCCGGCTCTAAAAATCATTTGCTTCGGTGACCCGTGAAAGCCAACACATTGTATAGATCGTCCCGAAAGTTTTTGCGCACGATTTTCAAAAATTCATAACTTTTGATTTTTCCGGCCGATTTGACTGCTTTATTTTTATTTGAAAGGATAAGTCATGCTCTTTATAACGACATCTCAGCTGCTTAGTAATGGTCATCTGTTACATAGATAGAGGCTCAAAACCAAAATCACTCAAAATTTGAATTTTTGTGTAGGGTCATAAAAAATCAGAAACTTGCAACAAAAATTGGAGCAGTCGGTATTATAGGTTCTTTCACCAGCTCTTTCTAACGGTACAAAGTTTGCTCCGATTGAGCGTCTCCATGAAAAGTTATGATTTCCGGTAAAAAATGTGCTATGGATTGACATCGTTATCAGCACTAACGGGATCGTGAGCGAACGCGTCTATTTGAGCGTCCTTATCGTTGTTATATGTTTATGTTTTTTTGGTAAAAAATGCGCTTTTGATTGACAGTTATGCCATCACTGTTAGCGCACACTCAAAAAACTATGGGAGATTGTAAATTTCCACACCTTCACACAAAAACCTGCCCATTTCTGAAATCTATACTCTGTAAATCTAGTGCTGAAGAAGGTCACTTTTACGAAAACGCTCTAGACTCACCTTACCTAATTTGTAGAGAAGGTGGTTGGGTTCAATGAATCAAAAACTTTAAAACATCCAGAAGAATGACATGTTAATAATTTATCCCTCAATGTTTTGGAAAGGTTGGCAGTTTGAAGAGGAAACGGCAGGCAGAATACTTTACAAAATCGCAGATGACTCGCATGTGTTCCAGTTCAATAGCGACGCAGAAGGAGAATCTTACGCCGACGAAAATGTTGTCGACATTGACCCAGAGTTGACAATTGAGCGAAACTCTCTGATTTCCTGCATAAGGAATCCAAGCAGATTGTCTAGTTTCAATGAGGAAATGCCCAGGAAGTCCATTGCTGATCTTCAGGTTGCTGAAGAATTCAAGGCTGCTAAATTCACAAACATGGATATGAACAAAAGGAAGGTGTTAGTACAAAGCATAGTTACTGCACTTAGATCCCGGCTGGAGTGCGAACCCAACTCTGTAATTTATGCTTTTGGAAGTTATTCGCCTTGTGACATTATGACCTATGATATTGAAAAAAAAAACCAACGCGCAGCATAGTATCTACTTTTTTTCGGCTATTCCGCAGATGCTGTTGAAGAAGAAGTTGAGCAGCTTTCTTGTCAGTTAACAGGAAGTATGCCAGAGGAGGTGAAGCCAGAGTTCGAAAAGGCCCAAAAAAGTATGCACTATTTCCTTCTCGTGTTGCGAAAGCATATGCGATCTGGCTCTTTTCTCATTACTTACCGCAAAAATCTGATGGACTTACTAGCAAAGCTAGTTTCCATTCCGACTAGCACGGCAGAGGTGAAAAAAGAAATTTTCTATCTACTCTGTTATCAGAACACAACGCTCGTACAACGATAGAGCATCTAAGCAAATACTTAAGATTTGTCAACCTCTACTAAACACATTGTTATCTAAAAACTTCATTTAAAGGATTGGTATAAGTGGTCCAGACAGGCTGTTACCGCATGACTTTTGAAATATCCTTAAAGTTGGTATGAAGAATCTGGTCACCTACCTGCTGACTTTCTGATGCTACCAGAGGGCCAGGAAAAAAATCACAAATGTGCTTAGAAGAAAAAAGTTTCAAATCCATTTTTGACTTAGAACGCTTTGCACGCAATTCTACTTCCACTTCGATGACCTTTTGAAGGAAGAAGAAGATTTTTCAGGCACCGAATTTGTTGTCTCTGACGTTAGCGATAGTGATATTGTTGATGATGATGCGCAGGAAATGAAGTTTTGCCTAACTTGTACATCTTTTGGGATAAACCTTATTGCTTTTTTTGTTGATGCAGTGAAACAGGAGCACAGATCTTTATAACAAATTTCTTTAAAATTTTTAAATTTCTTTTGAAAATTTTTGAATTTTTTTTCACTTTTTTGCCTAAATAAGGTACAAATTAGAGCTTTTCATACCACGCTTTCTTACCATTTCTCTTCCCCCCCCCCTAGACTCACATACCCCCTTCACCCTGGAAGGTCGGAAACAGCCGAGACCCCCTTCACCTGGGGAGATCCCGGCTCCCCCTATCGCACCTATGCCATCGATGCTTCGCTTTCGCAACATAATCCGCTGGGTCACGAAGACGGGACATTCTCCTCATATCCGTACTGCGAAGTCCGACGAGATGTTGTTTGTGTCGGGTCATCTTTAGAAGACTACGCTCTAGCGCTCTGCTCAGATAACCGCCGGGGGCAGGCGGCCATGCGAATTTTGAGCAAGCGCGCACCGGAAAAAAAGTTCGTTGATTTTTTGCGGCCCGCTTGCAGAAATTTGGAAGAAAGGTAGCGAAATTAAAGACGAACGCTTGAAGAACAATCGCGGTTTCTTTATGGATTAGCTGCGGCGCAGTGGCCGCATTCTCGCGGACTTTCCGCGAGAATATGCAAGAATTTCGGGGGCCGCACGGTCCTTTGTGGAGGACCGCGCAACCCCCAAGTACTTTCCGCTGAGAGAAAGTACCTCAAACTTGAGTAATTAAACCAACGGTGACACCTCTGCCACACAGTCTTACCTGCGCTCGACGTACGCCCGAAAACGCCTAAAAAGAGCCCGAGCGCTTGCTGAAAGTTTGGCCAGCGCTTGCTGAATGAAATTATTTGCCGAGCGCTTGCAAAAAACGCTGTATTGCTGCCCGCTGGCAGAATATGCGACCGTAAAGGAAGTGCCGCCCGCTGAAGGTTTGGCCACGCCCCAAAATTCTGCTGACCGCCTGCAGAAAAGCGCAAGTTTGCGGACCGCCTGCCCCCGGCGATTATCTGAGTGTGGGTGGTCCTCAAAGCTTTCGAAGTGGCGACGGTGTCGGGCCAAGTCTCAGCTGCGTAACAGAGCGCCGGGAGAACGGTTGAGTCGAACAGGTGGGCACGAGCTCCGGGTCCGTCAGTTGGTCTGTGGCTTCCTTCAGAGGCCCGAAGGCGGCTCAGGCTGCTCTTCTTCTCCTGTCAAGTTCTTCCCTCAAGTCGTTCTTCAAGAGAACCCTTCAAGTAAGCATTCCTTTATTGGTAAATCGACACTTATTGTTATTTCCAAAAGTCAAATCTGCAGACCATTTATTGTAAAGGTGATTGAGATTTACCACTGAATAAGTCTGTCCATTTTCAAAATGTGGTTCAATAAAAGGGATCCGTAGAATTTTGAAACTGAGTTTGGATTGTTTTTTGTGCATTGAGATGTTTATCTGAGTTCTAAATGTATGGTCTACAGCTGCTTAAAAAGTGTAAAATGATTCTTTACAATACATGCTGCCAAATACTTTATGCATGAAACATTCACGCAAATAAACATGGGAGGTCAGGAGACATTGCATGAAATTTTGAAAAAAGAACGTTTGCAGAATAAACAATCATCAAAAGAGGAAGATTTGGAAAGCCATGTGAAATACTTTGAAGATTAAGTAACCATGAGCAGTGTCTCCATGTGTATCGTATTGCCCTTTACTTGCGGCATTGCGGCTTTCTGAAGGGTACAGGGGGTATAAACCCAGTACTCTTCCAGCATTGAGCACATTCATTGTCACATTTGCAAAGAGCCGCTGCGCAACCGGTGTTCGTAGCTAAAGAAAGGATACCAGACGCCAAGCTAGATTATATCAACTGATACAACAAAAATGTAAATGCAGATTTATGTTGCGGAGATTGTGCTGAACGGGATCGCCCCACTTATCTCATTTTTGTTCTTATCATCTCGTTCTGAGTTAGTTAGTTCCGCGAAACAAAATTATTCAGCGCTCGGTGACGGAAACTGAGAGCACTTATTGCTGCATCAAATGACAAGGATTGAAGTGAAGAAAGAATGCAACCGAATATTGTTCTAACTTTCAAAGTCATTTTAGTTTTTCACGTCACCTCACTTAATACTTTTAATATTTGATGGGCTGCAAATCTTGACAAGCAAAACCACTCAATCCGCTTTGTGCGACCGGTTCAACTTTTTTAGAGGCACAAATAGCTATGAGCTTATGATATCTTCCAGCTTCTATTTCCTAGTCCTCCTTGTCACGCCTTGGATGACTTGTAGGCAGCGGCTCGTAGAATGGCAACTTTGAAATATTTATTGTTCTCGGCTTCACTGGATGACCTAAGTCCAAGAATGTGCTTTGCAGCTTCAAATTATAGCAATAACCTGCTTTTCCAGACGTGAAAAGTGCTATTTGGGCGGACGGTGTATGCCTGCCCTCTAGAGCGCGATTGGCTCATGAGTGGCGATGACGTACCCATCCACGCGGCAGTTGGATTGTTGGCTGCAGCAGCCAAAAGATACCAATAACCCACTTTCTGGAAAAGTGGGTTATTGGTATCTTTTGGCTACAAAGCATAGTCTTGGACTTAGCTCATTCAGGGAAATAGTACAATAAATATTCCAAAGTTGTCATTCACCGAGCGGCTGCCTTTGAGTGGGAGAAGTGCGATAATCAGAGCAGGGAGGCGTATTTTCCGAAAAGAAAAATCTGAGAATGCGTGCATTTAGCCCGATATCACTCAAAGGCTACTCACGGCTACATACGGCCTGCTTGTTGACACAATTCCACTTGTACGAACGGAAATACCTCTCCCCTGGGTTGCATATACCGCTACTCACAGTCTCACCGTAGCATTGATCAAGATTAAAGCAGCAGCTAGAAGTGATCTTTCATGAATATGACTGCGAATTTGGGACTGGTAGTTTACTTACCTGTCAACGGCATCGATTGGTGTACCCAAACCAACTGTGCGGCACCAGCATCCATAATCGTACAATCTCTGAAAAGCATGAAATTTTTGAGCAGAATCGTCAAGATGGTGAAACTTACCCGGGCCGAGTACCCCACCACGCATTCGGTTAGGGAATTGATATCACGACTGCGTACTGCAAACTGCGCAGCAGCATGGTGTTGTGGCATGACTACGTAGACCAACGAGAGCAGAACTAGAACGATGTACATGTTCTATGACAATAAAGTGAAGAGCAAAGTGATACACTCCTTATTTATTGAGCGATGAGAACAAGTTACTTGACGTCCCATTAGTCATCCTTTATGATAAGCGGATTTGAAGGGATTTCGCGGTTGTCGCAGAAGAAATCGTCTTATATGTTGCGCACTGAAGTCAGACCATCTGTACTGCTGCCTCCGATAATCTTTTGTGCCGAGGAAGAATCATGCTTTAGGGAATGACTTAGCATGAATCAGTGGGACCCATGTCTTCCAATGCCTAGTCATCCCCTCCAGCAAACTTAAGCCTTGGGCAGAGTTCAAGCCATTTTATCGCCTCCTCTCTAAACAAGACAACAGTTACAAGTCCATTGCATGCCAATCATTTTACATCTCAATTGTGATAGTTATTCATGATTAGTTGTGTGAGAAAACTATCACAACCGAAATGCAAGACGGTCGGCGTGTAATGGACTCGTAACTGTTGCCCTGTTGGAGAATCGCGAGGCGATGAAACCGCTGAAAACTCCGCCCGAGGCCTTGCACAATTGACTCTTTTTTATTTCATGGAGAAACAGTTAATGAACCTCATTCTCTTTCATCAGTTAAGTTTGTAGATTTTCATTCTCTGCAAGGACCGGCATTGACAATGTGGCATATAGCTAGAAGAAAGCTGTGTTTCTGCAAAACCTTCAATGCTATTATGATTAGTGCAGCATTGATCTTTTTATGAATATTATGCCCTTACTCTGGAAATCCAAAAAACGGTGAGATTCTCCAATAATCTTCGAATTAATGGAAGCAACTGTCATAGAAGGATACAAAGCACATTAATCCCGTGGCAAAGTCGCAAGAAATCACATGGTAGTAATAAGCAGCATTAATGAGATTGTTGGCAATGACGAAAACACCAAAATCCGACTTAAAAGACAATTTGCTCAAAAAAATAAGCATCTTTTTGAGTCAGAAGACTGTATTAATTTTTAGGCCAAGAGAAGATGAAATAAGCGTATTTGCAAATGAAATAAAAGTGGGGCACGCCTTTACTGCGCCTTGGAACGCTAATTCCCTATCTGTCTTCAATCTGAGCGGTTCTCCAATGAAACGTTGTGACGCTTCTAACATCAAAATATGCACTCAACCTTCCTATTTGATAAAAACAGCATTGCAAGCAAAAAATATTATGGTAGGCAAGAATAACCTGGTTTCAATTGAGTCTGTTTCAAAATTCCACTTTCAACTATTTTGATGTGCCCACCTTGCAAAACTGACGCGAAAAAAGCTCATAGCCTAGTCCTGAGAGTGTGTCAGCAGACAGCGAAAGCAGATTTGAGCCTAGCTCTTTGAGGAGCATTCTACTAGATTCTGTTTCATTAAGAATGCACGTTACACAGTTAATTTTTTCCTTCCAAGAAAGTACTGAAGATTTTCGTCTGCAGCATAAGTTAACTCAGCATGTAATTAAATCTGAAAACCCTGCCAAAATTCCCATTATTATGTTATTTATTTCATAGAAAAAAATTAGTAGTCGCCAACTGCCTTAACTTATCATTGAAGCTACAGAGCTTATACTGTTGAATTGTGTGAATATTTTACCAAGCTTGCTCAAGAGTTGACTTGAACATCAGAGAGTTCAAACTTTTGAGTTTCTTTTTTTTTCTTTTACTTTTCTTTACTTTTAAGTTTACTTTTCTTAAGCGGACATAAAATCGTATATCCATCCGCTCCTCTCCCTTAAAAGGCCAACCTAACAAGAGAATGGTCTAAAGTCGTTTTGCCAAACCCCAAAACAGCCGCGTAATATTTGGTGCAGCGTAAAACGCTTCCAGTGAATTTAAGTGCAAAGTGCAGTGCAAAAGTGCAAACTTGAACATGTAAACGCATAGTATTAGGTCGTTCAGAAGGTAATCTCGCTTTTTTGAAACGTATGCCACATCTCGTGAAACAAAGGTGTAAGAGATTCTGATAGCATTTTATGCAGCATTTCATTCTCTTTCCGAAGGTTATGAAGTTGTTGCAATAAACTCAATGAGATTCCAGAAAAGAGTCAAAATCTGCGACCTATGCTTTTTGAGATGGCCAACTTTCACAATTTTTCTAAAATCTTAAAACAAACCTCAGAAGGAGTCCAAGTACTGGTGGATGGAGCAAACCCTATAGGAAATAGCACAACTTTTTTCTACTTTCCAGAGCTCGTCATAATTTTTGTACAGATTTTTTGATGAAACCACCGAATTTTAGCAGGCTCGTTTCAGACACAAATTCATCCAACACCAATAAATCTTCTTTGGAACTTACAAAGATGAATTATGGTTTGACACTAATTTTACAAACCAAATGAGCATTCACCGCTTCGGTTTAGCAACGAAAATTTAGGGTACACCTTGGGATCCCTTGGAAAAGTTGAATTATGAGATTTTATGCCGGAAAACTTGATGAATCGGAAACAAAAACACGCTAGAAAGAGGAAAAAAAGCTGCATCAAATGAGACCCGATTCGCTTGCCGGTTGTTGTTCTGTGAGGTTTGACTTGACTAAATATGGAATTTGATGGCACTGAGAAATTGATTGTAAAAACTCTGAGAAGCAAGCTGAGTAAAAGAAAAAATTACTCTGTGTTTTATAGTCTTTGCTACATCTACCTGCCACTTGTACTTTTTCGGAGATTAGGTACAAAAATTTAGAAAAATAGCCGAGCTTGACCATGGCAAAAAGCATGAGTCGCAAATTTTGGTAATTTTTAGGGAGCTCATTCAACATTTTGCAGTAAAATTAAAAGCATTTGAAAGAGGATGAAATGCTGCATCGAGCGCCTAAGATCTCTTGAAAACGTTGATTCTACGAATAGTGGCGTTCATTCGAAAAAAGCGGCATTACTTTCAGAACGACCTAATATTAGGCGTACACTCGCTGGCCCATGATCCCCTAATGACCCCCGGCAGCCAAACGTCTTTTCTTCAGCAATTTCTCTTTCTTCGAAGTTGATGGAAACTTTCCAAAGTTGTACTGATTATCTAACCCAACAGTGCTAAGCATGTTGCTGATGAGAACAAATGCTGTGCTGTAGTCATGCAAATTGCGATGAACCACATGCTGAAAGTTGAGGGCGAAAAATTCGAAATTTCAATAACCTGATTATTCTTGCCAGCAACATGCTTAGACTGTTAGGTTAGGTAAGCTGTGCAACTTTGGGAAGTTTTAGTAAACTTCAAAGAAGGGAAAACTACTTTGAAGAAAAGACCTGCAAGCTAATTTCAACAGTGGGTCACGCTTGTAATGTTTCGCTGCAGTTCGAACTGTGATTTAGTAGCAGAGAGACACTTGGCTATCTAATCTAAGATAGGAAAAATATTGTTTTTGGCAAGCTACTAGAAGGGAAACTAACAAGGGAAGGATGGTTGGTCGAAGTGGCCTTTTGAGATGGGTTGTATACCATGTTGGAGGGCATAAAACGCTGATTCCAAATCTGTCTTCAATATCTGCGGCGCGTTCCTGCACAGAATTTATGACCAACTGGAGAAAAAACTGAATGTGCAATTGATATAAAGACAGCAATAACATTTTTCCTAGCACTTATATGGACCACTGGTAGCTTTCCAGCACTCTGTAAAATAAATACCCTTAAATGAGATGTATCCGCACTCCGGTTGTCTCATTTAGGCACCAGGGCCCAGCACCAGGGTGGCAGATAGGTATCAGTGAAAAGACTTCGCTCTTGCCAATATCGATTTCTACGATTTCCCACTTGATCCCGCCAGCTGCGTAGGTTGTTCAGTTGGAGCGCTTTCTTTCTCGGAATGACGGGCATCGTTGCTAGTTCGGATCCTTACAAGGAGGAGAGGAGGAGTTTAGAACCAAAATGTTACTTTATACCAAGCTTCAAGCGTAGAACACATTTTTTAAATTTTATAAAAATATGTGAATTGGAAGTCTTGCCAACCTCAGTTGGGCATTAGGTTGACAACTATTAACCTAATTTGGAAAAAAGTTGGGCACGCTCTTCATTGACATGAGTTTTTGAAAATTTTTCATATTTGTTCCCTAGTCCTACTGCGCTTATACACATCAAATCTCGCGCGATTTCGTCACCTCTGCGTTGCAAACGAGCCATTTTTCCATTTTTTGTAGCGGGAAATTTTTAGACAAAAGCGTGCCACAACCTTCAATCATTTTGAAAAAAATTTAAGCCTTGACCCACCATGTGGGTCACGTGTCCTACGTGGCAGTTGAAGCATGGCCCACCACGCTCTCACGTTGTCGTGTCTCACCAAAATGTGATTACTGAGATTTTTGCACAGTGCAAGCCTTTCGCTTCTGTTTAAGTCAATGCGGGTCCAAGTTTGCATGAAGCGTACATTTGAAAGCTCTATGGAAGCAACGCAAACGAGTTGCGCCTTTTCAGCGTCGCCTCCGCCACATCGGCAGACACCTTGAGGTAAGAGCTAAGTGGAGGAACATGCTGAAACGCACAAGGGGGAAACCGGGAGCCGGCCGTGCGAGCCAAATCGTGCTTTGCGGGCCACTTTGATGACAAATTTCTCGGCGCAGAAAGGCCCGAATCGAGTCGGAGTTGGGGCGGTAGCTTATCCAGGGGGTCCTTTAACGAATATCGTAGAGACTCGCATTACATCAATTTTGGCGAGACACTGCCTTCAGTCGAACTAAAGGCATAATTTTGTGAATGTTGCGTAAAGGAAGAGAGTAGGTTTACTGAAGGGTAATGATGCTACAAAAAGACTTGGCCAAAGTGACGCGACAGTGAGTTTGCAACCGTAGCACCTTTTGAAATGATCCCTTGTTAGCAAAAGTGTTGATCTTCATCTTTGTTCTTTCCTGACATCTTTCCTGACACTTTTGATTTTCCCTGACATAGTGCTAGATGAAAAACGAAAAATTCTAGTGGTGCCCCAGGTGATATAATATTTCCTTACTAAAATGCAAATGAAAAAGAGTGAAAACACCTCACGTGCAAGAAAGTAGACTCAAAATAATTTTGCTATCTTGATTTATTTATTTATTTATTTATATGTTACGCACAAGGCGTGCCAAAACCGGAACAGA